AGGCTTCCTTTGTTCTCCTGCTCTCTTCCCCTTATCTCTCTCCTTTCTGTGTATGTGACGAGGCCCAGGAGATGCTCAGGTGGAATGACCAAAATGTAAGAAGCAGATGGACAGGAGGATTGGCCAGATGAAGCAGCCCAGGACACATTAATTAACAGCTTTTACAACTCCCTGTAGGGAGGGACAATTCCTGGGGCAGAGTACCTTAGCAACAGGTTGAAACAGGGCAGGTAATCATGATAAGGGTGGAGGAAGGGCTCTGAAGTCCCTGTGGGGCAGACTCCAACTTCCTGGACTTACTCAAATTGGCCTCCTTGATTACACCTGACTCAATTTACCTATCCATGTTGACTGCCTGGCTAATTCTGGCTTYACCAGGGTAAACTCATTCAGGCTTTAATTTGACTTTTATCACTTTATTACTTTTGCATAATAAACCTATCAAGTAACGGTCATATTAATGACTGTTCTTAAGATAATGAATGTTTTTTTTTTTTTTCATTTTAACATTTGATTTTTGGTAGTATTAGTGCTTTTCTTACTGGAAAGAAGAATGTAATTTTTTCAGTTTAATTTTGAGTAGGTTTTTTTTTGTTTTTTTAAAATACTCTAATATATGTATTGTTTTTGAAATTTGTTTTATTTATTAAACTGTATATTTTGATATTTAATCATAATGTTTAAAATATTCAGTTTTCTATTGTATGTAGGGTAATTATCAATTATAATAATGTACTGTGTATTTCAAGAACTGGAAAAAGGATTTTGAATATTCTAACTGCAAAGAAATAAATGTTTGAGGAGAAAGATATTTGCCCTGATTTGGACATTGTGCCAAGTATACATGCATTAAAACATCATAAAGACTCCATAAATATGTGCAAATAAGTAACAATTAAAAAGATGTTTTCACCAAGAAAAAATGATAGGTCATTGAGAAGATAGATGTTTAGCTTGACTTAAACATTATACAGACTATACAAACAGGGAAATATCACATTGTAAACTGTTATTAGGTGTAATTTTTGTTTTAATCCATCACTTTTTCAAAAAATAAATGAAAATATTGATAAAATAAACAAATATGATAGTAGATTAATGGCACAAAATATTAGTGAGTTAAACAACTGAGTGTCAAATATAGTGGATAGTTAGAGAAGATTTAAGAGAATGTGAATTCTCTTACATAGATTGTGGTGAGATGTGAATCCCTTTGCTGTGGCTCCACCCCTTTGGCCTTGTGGGCTGCAACCAACATGGCTTCTCTCTTGGATGGCTCTGCCCATTGCTTCCTACAGCTTTCCTTGGCAGATGTTCCATGTTACTAGAATCTCTTAATTCCTAAGGTCTCTACTGCAGCTTTAGCTTCATTCTCACATTTTTATGCATTTCTGTCTCAGGGGCTACCTGAAGAGATTCTGACCCTTCTGCACTTTGCCTGGCCCCCCACGACTTCCTGTGAAATCTCAGTGGAGGCCTCCAGGATCCCCAACTCCAGAATCCTACATTCTTGAACAACTGGCACCACATGTATGATGTCAACTCCTGCTGCCAGCTCAAGGAATAGCTGGGCTCCTTGACTATGGTTGCAGGGGCCCTTGAGTCTAGACAACTGAACATTATTTAAGGAATCCTGAGGAAGCAACTTCATAGGTCCCTCTTATGGAGGCAGGGTGCTCCTATGATCTCTTTTCAAATGAATTTTTATTTTACACCCTTAAGACTTCAATGGGTGTAGTTTTCTAAGGTGCCCTCAAGGAATCTTTTCTAGTATCTCTGGATAAAATACTTAGCTTCTCTTTAGTGGTGGTAATCTCTTCGGCAACTACATCTACTTCTTTGGCCAAACTGAAAACTTTTTCAATCTTTCCTAGTTTTTTGCTTCTCATTATCACAGTAAATTTGGATAAAAACCCACCAGCAATACCCATTCAACTTTCTGAATTTGTGCTGCCTTGAAATTTTCTCCCCCAGATCAATTAGTCCATCAACTATAGATTGAGACTCAAAGTTTCAGGTCATGGGCAAATTGCAGACACGTTCTTTGCTGTCATGTGACTGTATCTAATGTGACTTGTCTCTAATCCAATTCCTAAGAGTCTTCATTACATTCTGAAACCTCATGAGCATAGTCTTTTTACTGTTCATATTGTTATCAACATTCTGGTCTTCTCAGCTCCCATCAGAATTACCTAATAAGCTTTGCTTTTAGTATTCTAATTTTTCTCCAGCCTCCATCTCCAAATTTATCCAAACTCCAAAAGGCTTCTGAACCACATGGTCAGGTTACTTACAGCAACAACCTCACTTTTCAGTATCAATTTATATGTTAGTCAGCTTTTCATCGCTGTGACCAAAGTACCTGACAACAGTTACTTAGCAAAGAAATAATTTATTCTGAGTTCATAGTTTTAAGGACTAAACCTCTGAGTCAGTGAGCCCAAAATATATTTTTCTTTACTAATTCTCAACTGACATATAATTTTAAGCACCTAACTAATTTTAGAAATGTAATTTTAAGTACCTAATTTTAGAAATGCAAGACACTGATTTCTCAAAATAAAATGTTTTTGTTTTTTCTGTATGTGTTTAAGTTTTTTTGCTTTTGTTTTTTGATGTGTGTGTTTTAGCAGAGTCTGAATATAGGTTTCCTTTGTGTATATACTCGGGAGTATGCCAAGATTTACATTTATGTTTTGATTTCTCTAATCAATTTTAGGTACCTTTGAGCTATTAATTGAATCTTTTCAATTAATTGAGCTATTATTAGAATCTTGTTCCTCTATCCCAAAAGACTGATAAATTTATCTGCTTTTGTCAATTCTCCCTCCTTTGAAACTCCAGTTATTCATATGTTGTGTCAATAGATTCTGCAGGACACATTTTTTTACTGTGTTTGATTTGTTCTTGTTTATGCACTTTAGTCTTTCTGTATTTCACTTGTGGCAATTCTACATGAGACTTTCTTCAAGTTTAACGTATTTCCCTCTGTGTCCATATGACTCGTGAGACATTATTTCACATATTTATTCTGTACTTACAGAATAATACATGATTTTTAGAGTCACTTTGTTTTGGTTATCTTTTTATTTTTACTCCTTTACATCTTCTTTATATAGTTTCTTTAACATACTTAAAAGAGTTGTTCTAAAGGTATTGATAGCATTGTAGCTTCAGGAGCTAAGTGTCTGCTATTTACTAACTTTATTTTCTCTTCCTGGACATATTTTTTGTCCTTTCATGTGTGCTTTAATTTTCATTTGAGTCCACACATTTTGCATGAGATGGAATGTTATGACTTAAGTTTACATAATTACTCCCAACAAAGAGAGTGTTTGCTTTCTTTTGATCTAATTAAACTCATTTGGGCCTGGGTTGCATTTTAGTTTGAGTCAGTCCACTTCTGGTATGAAAAGATGCAAAGAGAGGACTTGCCAATGTCTTGGCTGGGCACAGAATCACGAGCCACCACACACCTTGTAGATTCAAACAGCAATTCTTTATTCCCGAACTCACACCAGCCTCTACACACGTTCTGGGGAAATCCAAGTTCTGCCACCGCCCAATGCACCTACTCCACGAGGCTTTTTTCCCAAAATACTTTCTGAATCTCATGAGAACTCAACGGGAGCTCAGGCAGCAGGAACGCTCTATTTCCAGCAGCAATAATCTTCAACCTCCAACTTCCCTAAAACCCATATTGTCTTAAACCGGGAAGCCTTAAACTTGTCTTAAACCGGGAACGCCTTAAACTCAAGGAGCRGGAAACTTCCTCAAACCTGATCAGCTCTAAACCTGGATCCGCCCTGGTCCTTGAGCAAGGTCACCTTACATGCAATGTCAACAGCAAAATTCCAAGGCAAGTCCATTTAACATGGGGTACGCTGGCAAGGAAATTTCTATGCGTCATTCCTACTTGGCAATGGCCCTCAGCAAGGACTGTGTGGGTGTGTGCGTGCACACTCATATGTTTTCAGTTGAGAACATGGTTAGAATCCATGCCCATGACCATGCTTCTTTGACGCTTTGTCTCCTGTTCTAAAATCTGATCCTGAGTGATTTTCAAATATAGCAAATATGTTCAAAGATACTGTGTACTTAAAGTAGGCCATTTTTGCTGGTGGGACTCTTTGTCTGAGAATATGGGAAATTTCAGTCCAAAGCTTCTGTAAGGAACTCTGATTCTACACAAGTTTCAGAAAATTTTATGCTACTCGTAATCTCTCCAAGTTTGTCTGGTTTTTCCTTTCTTCATTATCATTCCTCTATTTATTCAAGTTCTGATCATTAATCCATATCCAGAGCTGGCAGTCATAATCAGGTAAGAAATAGCCAAAGACCATATGTTTGCATGAAATAGGGCTTTCTCACTTGGATTTAATTCATTTAATCCTCTCAACCCACAATTTACTTTTAAACACACACACACACACACACACACACACACACTGTTTTACATGCACATGTTCTAGTCAGCTTTCTGTTGCTATGATTAAAAGATCTGACCAGAACAATTGTAGAGGAGGAAAAGTTTATCTGAGAGTTCACAGTTTCAGAAGTCTCAGTTATTAGATAGGCAGCTCCATTCCTCAGGGCTCGAGGTGAGGCAAAACATCAGGGGGAAGAGTGTGACAGAGGGAAGCTGCTCATATGATGATCAGAAGGCAGAGAGAGAGAGAGAGATTCCACTGGCCAGGTACAAAATACATATACTCTAATGACCCATCTCCTCCAGCCACACCCTACTTACTTTTATTTACCACTCAGTTAATACCCATCCCCCCATCAACAGATAAATTCACTGATTGGGTTAAAGCTATCATAACCCATTCATTTCTCTTCTAAACCTTCTTGCATTATCTTATAAGTGAGCTTTTGGGGACACATAACAACCAACCCATGACACACATTCCTACAACGGATGGATCAGTAGCCATATAGATATTTTTAAAAGCAAAACTAACCCCAACATACCATATGTTTGCTTTTATTATTTGCAGATTGCCAAGGACCTCCTGCAAAAGAAGATACAGAAATTCTGTCTGGTTCCTGGACTGACCAGCCTTATTCAGAGGGTACTCAGGCTACCTACAAATGCCGCCCTGGCTACAGAACCCTTGGCACCATCATAAAGGAATGCAGAAATGGAGAATGGGTGGCTCTTAATCCAGCCAGGATATGTCGGAGTAAGTACTTCACTTTTTAAAAAATATTTATTCTTAAGTTTTAGGTGGACACAATATCTTTATTTTACATTTATGTGGTGATGAGGATTGAACCTAGTGCCTCGTGCATGCTAGGCAAGCATTCTACCACTGATCCATAACCCCAGCCCGACTACTTCACTTTTTTTGTGAAACTTATGAAATCTTTTAGTTGTAAAAATGCTTAATACTTGATATGTTAACAATACTGGTTGAATTATATCATTCTTATCATTTTAATACAAAACAACACATGATTATTTTTRAAAAGAGGACAGAAGTCTGACAAAATTAAAAAATGCATTCAATTATAAAATAATAGCTTTGCTATTTTCAATTTTCTTTAAATTCAATGTTGTCCTCTCATTAAATACCAAATATCTTTGTCCACCAACTCCTATATAAAATGTGTTCCCTGTATAACATACTAATACATATATATATATATTTTTTTATTTTTAGAGAAGCCTTGTGGACATCCTGGGGATACTCCATTTGGTTCTTTTCATCTTGAAGTAGGAAATAAATTTGAATATGGTGCAAAAGTTGTTTATAAATGTGATGAGGGGTATGTAGTCAAAATTAAAAAGGTTTATAACTCAAATACTAAAGAGGAACTATACTAATTTATATACACAAATAACTTGAAATTATGGTACAATATAAATTACTATATATCATACTGTCTCCTTAACATTAAGAAATTCAAGCTGTAATTACTCTGTATAGTATTATTATAAGTATATGGAAAAACAGTTCGCATGTAAGTTAGTGTTCACCCAAGGCATCTTTTCTACATTGTACTATTTGCAGGGTATTTTGGGTCATTTATGTTGGGGTAATTGGACATATAATAAAATTATAAATTTATAAAATTTAAGAAGAAGCAAGTCTTTGGTTGTAAGTTTTACTTATAAATGCTATTGTTTAAATTTCCATGTTTTAAAAATTCTTATCATTCATATCAAAAATACTACTCTTTCAGAATCATTGATTTTATGCCTTCTAACCAACCAGTTAGGTTTCCTGACTGATCTCATCACAGTTCCTCCTTAGTATTTGTTCTTATCTATTATTCCTCTCTAGGACAAAACTTATTTTGCAGAAAATTTTGTACATTAGAAAGCCATGATCAGATCACTGTAATCTTATACTGAACAAGAAGTATCAAGAGATTATAAATTGAATCATTAATCTCCCCTTATACATTTCTGATTTGGAGCAAGAAAATATAATAGTTTAAAGGTCAGACTTTACACTAAATCCAAATTTCAAACCTTCAACTCTCAGTATCTGTGTATATAAATAGGTCTTCACTTGTATTTTGCTCTCTTTTTAAAGTGAACACATATCATGTGCATCATGGGATTAGTGAGAGAAAGAAATAAGACTCATACTTGAAGCTCTTAAAAGAGATCCTGGGATATTTCAAATGCCCAATAAGTATCAGTTCTTAATAGTTTTGTCTCTTCAGAGGGTTTTTGAAATACATTTTCAGTCCAACTCTCAATCATTACTACTGTTGTCTTCATATGTAACCAAATAGGTTAAGCCAATCTGGGCCTGAACTTTTTGATTTGCTCTACCTCTGAAATATCACTTTATTTCTGGAAAAGTCTTCCTTTTAGGTTTCAACAATGACTTGGAAAGGAATCAAAATCCATAAATTTCTTTTACTTGATTTCCTCAATTGTAACAATTCATATTTACAACTTGTTGAAGAAATTAACTACAGACTTGCCTCTGATTCTGGCTCTCTTTACCTCACTCTGTCAACTAGGGGTAACTCTGCTATAGCCTCACTGTGAGAGTTCCTGCTCTTCTCTTAGTACCCAACAGAATTTTGTCAGTGAAATCACTGATATTTATCAGTGAAATTAAGTGTTCAGATCATCCAGCAAACAGAAGTAATTTATGCTATTTTAAATTTTTTTAATTTAAAATAAATTTAATTCTTAAATTTATTTTCAAGGGGATGTAAAGCTTTTGACCCAGTTGTAGATGGTGAAGTAGATTTTAAATTTTTTTTTTTATATTTGTAAATGGACAGCATGCCTTTATTTTATTTGTTTATTTTTATGTGGTGCTGAGGATTGAACCCAGTGCCTCAGAGATGTGCAAGGCAAGCACTTTGCCACTGAGCTACAGGCCCAGCCCAGTGAAGTAGATTTTTTTTAACCCCTTGGTTTCTGTCAGTCAACTAACCCTTTTTGATCTTTTGCCTGTAGTTATTTCCCTTGGTGAATACCAACGATTTAACTGGATATTCAATGCAGATATCTAGTTTTATAATTCTACAGGAAGGCAGTTTTGAAAAACTTTAAAAAATTTTTTTTTATTATTATTCTGCTTGTCTGGGTTTGAGTATTGTGAGCTACTGTTTTTTGCCAATCACTGTCAAATAGGCAACTTTGCTCTTTTTCCTCCCCTCCTCCCTCCAAATATTTGGGCCATGGGAGGCTTTTGCAGAATGTTGCAGAATATCTGAAACATCTTTGGGAAACAARTGGATCTCTGGTGCAGGTGGAAAAAAATAACCAGAAAATCTGCTTTCTCTGTTAAGAGGGTACATTCTAGCTAGTAGAGAAATTACAGGATTATCTTAGTAGTCAATTATTTTGTTTCCTTTACATGATACATAGAATAAATGCTTGGCTCTGTGACTAAAACTTGGTTTATGAAAATGTTTTCTTTCCTTACAGAATTAGTAACAAATAAAAACATTTTCCTTTTTTTGAGGAAGAACATTTATTTTACTTGTATAATGAGCAGAACAATCCTTATTTACAAATGAAGAAAACAATGGCCCATGAAAATTATTTAGTGAGTCTGCAGTTCTTTCAAAGAAAAACAGAGAGTGGGAGAGAAAAACATTTAAGACAGGAAGGAAGAAAGGAAAGATCAAATGATGGTAGGAAGGGAGAAAGGATAGTAGAGAAGGTAAAACAAAGGAAGAGAAAAAGCAGGAAGGAAATGTATTAGTTGCTAATTTTCCATAAAAAGGAGTTTTTGAGAGACATTCAGAATAGGATTAAGCTAAAAACTGCATGTAAATACGTAATCTCTTGCCAGTCTGGTTTTTCTTTTTGTTTTGTTTGTTTGTTTGTTTTGTTTTTAGGTATAGAATGTTAGGTGAGAATAATTTCCGTCAATGTGATGCAGAAGGATGGACAAATGATATTCCGATATGTGAAGGTAATATAAAATTCATTTACAATCTGTCAAGATAGCTAAACTATTTAAGCTTTTTCAAAATATTTGACATCAAAACATCCTTAAGTTTATAATTAAATATTTTTTATTTAAATTATTATTTTTTTTTGCTTTATAATACAGTGCAGTTACTTCCCTTGTTGAATACCAACCACTTAACTGGATATCCAATGTGGATATCTAGTTTGTTAATCTACAGGTAGGTGGTTTTAAGAAATTTTTGAAAAATCTGAAAGTTGTTCTTTTTGCATTCTTGCTTGTCCAGTGCAGCAATGTATCTAGTCATTCAGTTTTATTTTTTATGTGTAAATTTATTTTTGGTACCAGGGAATGAACTCAGGAGTGCTCAATCACTGAGCCACATTTCCAGTCTTTTTTGGATTTTATTAAGAGACAGGGTCTTGGAAAATTGCTTAGGGCCTCACTAAGTTTCTGAGGTTGGCTTTGAATTTGTGATCCTCCTGCCTCAGCCTCCCAAGTCACTGGGATTATAGATGTGTACCAAACACGCCTGACAAGTCATTTTATTACTACATATTTTGTATTTTGATATATCAAATATTGGAGTTGAGGTTATAGCTCACTGGTAGTGTGTTTATTAAGCATGCATGAGGACCTGGGTTTTATTTCCACTATCTCAAAAATAAATAAATAGATAAATAAGAAAGAGAGAGAATAAATAAACAAATAAATCGAAATCCCTTAGAATCCTTGTTAAAACTGAGGTTTGGGTTACTGAAAAAAGGCCAATGAATCATCTTTGGGATGAGAGAGAAACACTCTAGAATTTTCATTATAAGAAGAATCTAGGGTCCTTCTTCAGTAAAAATGTTTGACTTCCATAACCTTGGAAATTTGAAAATATTAAGTAAAATCAAAATAAGTACTCAAGTTATTTTGTACACTGAGGTAGAAAAGGAAGGAAATTTAAGAACATTTTTTCTATTGAAATAAATATTATGTTTACTTTTATATCTTTTAGAATGCTGGTTTACATTATTTCGGGGCATAAATGGAAATCTTGTATTTAGTCATTCTAAACTTATATTTCTTAATAATTTGGGCTACTTGTTACCATAAAAATGCAAACTACCATTCAATGTAGTAGTTGTTTGTTCACTTCCACAGAAAAGAATCAGAGATAAACAGTACTTTTAATGTTACCTAGCTTTATCTTTTGCAAACAGGTGTATCAAATGCTTCTAAAAATATCTAAGTAATTTTCTCTATTTTATCTTTCTGATGATCTTACACACACACACACACACACACACACACACACAGAGACACACATACACACACACAATTTCATTATAAAGTTTTCAAATTCTACTAGAAAAAAATATTTTTGTTTTTTTCAGTTGTTAAGTGTTTACCAGTGACAGAACCAGAGAATGGGAGAATTATCAGTAGTGCGACAGAACCAGATGAGGAATATTATTTTGGACAAGCAGTGCAGTTTGAGTGTAATTCAGGCTTCAAACTTGAAGGACAGAAAGAAATATATTGTTCAGAAGATGGTCATTGGAGTAATGAGAAACCAAGATGTGTGGGTAAGATGTATTTAACTGCTTGCTTGATTGTTCTTAGTTTTTCTTATGAAAATATATATTTGAAAACATTGTACATAATAATGACTATAAATAATTCTTAAAAAGCTAATGTTTATTAAGCATGTACAATATCTCTGTAGTTGATCTTAGTTTTCTATATGTTATTTTATTTTCTACCTACAAAACAGTTTTATGATTTATGTACTAGTATCATCTCTATAATTGAAGAAATTTTAGTGCAAAATTATTTTAGTCAGCTACTTGGCTGCTTGATCAAAAAAACTAACAAGAACAATTAGAGGAGGAAAAGTTTATTTGAGGTCTCTCAGTTTCAGAGGTCTCAGTCCATGGATGGCCAGCTCCATTCCCTGGGGTTCAAGGGACGTGATGGTGAAATAATGAAGCAATGAAAAGTAGCTCAGGACATGATGATCAGGAATGAGAAAGAGAGAGTGAGAGAATGAGAGAGAGAGAGAGAGAGAGAGAGAGAGAGAGAGAGAGATACTTTCCTCACAACATACAAAATGCATACCCCAAAGGTACACCCTCAATGACCCACCTCTTCCAGCCACACCCTACCTACTTTCAGTTAAGACTCAGTCAATTTCTATCAGAGGATTAATGCACTGATAGGGTTAAGGCTCTCATAACTCAATCATTTCACCTCTAAATCTTCTTGCATTGTCTCACACATGAGCTTTTGGGTGTTACTTCACATGTAAACCACAACAAAAATCAAATCATGCAGCCTAGATTACCATAGCATAGAGAGTATAGATTTAAGCCTAGGTTATTGTCTGACATCAACATCCATGCTCTAACTATAAACATATTGTTGTTGGCTCTTTTTTAAGGGTGGTGGGTACCAGGGATTGAACTCAGGGGCACTCAATCATTGAGCCATATCACTCGCCCCTTTTTGTATTTGTTTAGAGACAGGGTCTCATTGAGTTGCTTAGTGTCTTGCTGTTCCTGAAGCTGGCTTTGAACTTGAAATTCTGCCTCAGCCTATGCTGTTGGGATTACAGTGTGTAATACCACTCCTGGCTATAGTTGGCTCTTATAGGTTGAAAGAGAATGTTCAGCCTTTCTGTGCTGATCTCCAGAAAAGTCTATTTTTAATTCCGGATGCCAAACATTTATTTTTTGTTTCCACTGGTACATCATGATGGCATTATATTTTTGAATAACTCATCTTTGATAACTTATTTCTAGGAAATGATTCTCTTTCATATTTATGCTGAAAGTTAAGTATAAACTGCTGAACATAGTTGAATCCACCAAATAAATGATTTTCTTTTAGAAAAATTTCTAAGTCAATTTTACATGATTTCTTCAATTTATTTTCTCACAATATAGCTGATTTGTATATCTTGATTCATCAATGATTTTGGCTTTTAAGTTAAACATTATGGCCAATTAGTTTAATAGAACCATACTTCATTTAACCTATTCTTGTTGGGAAGAAGTTTCTGCCTTATTTATTTATTACCTAAAACCTCTGATTTATTCACATTTTTTATCTAGTCTACCTTACAGTAAGTAAGTCAATAAATAAATAAATAAATTCTTAAGTATTCTAACAGAAATAGTTCTCTGTGATAATAATGTTAAGTTAAATACTTTAGAGATTCATACATGGGATTTCTATGGTCACAGCTAGATGTCATGACTAGCAGAACCTTCCTGGAATTGCAGATGCTTAAGGAAAGTCTTACAGGAAGAGAGGGCTRTTTTTAGGTGACCATGAAGAAGGGAAAAGCATGCCAGTCCCAGGAAGGTCAGAAGAGGAACATAGAAAGGCAGTGAGGCTTCAATAAGTGTGAAGTCCTATTGTTCCTTGTCCACTGTCCACAGGGGCCTTGCAGAGGAAGGTGATAAGTCAGTGATGAACTGAAGATAGGCCAGTACAAGGTACTGAGAAGCTAATGCACCATTCTTAAGAACTTAGCTTTAATGCAGACTGATTTTGGAACTGGTGAAGGATTTCAAGTGGAGGAATTAAGTGGCCATTTGGTAGTTTTGTAGTCAAACCCAAGAAAAACAGATTAGGAAGATGGAAGAAGAGGATTTGGGAAAACAGTTATCATTGTCACTGTCTCAGGGAAAAGTGTTTGAGAGAAGTGGTGTCAAAGATGATGGGCAGTTTTCTGTTGTTATTGTTTGTGTTTGTTTTATTGTGATTTTGTTTTTTACAGAAAACCTGTATAGACGGTGAAGACACAAAAGCAGAACTCAGTTACTTTTCAAAGATGTAATGAAAAATGAGTTGAATAAATTTCCTTGAAAAAGATTCTGTTGAATAAGTACTCTAATCAATAACGAGAAAATGTTTTATTTTTACAGGTCACTTGGAGAAAATACTTATCACAGTAAATCTATATTCAATATCACATATACATTTGATGGGTATTACTATAAATCACTGCCAAAGGACTAATTTACCCTTAAACTAAAGTTGAAACAGAATTTTACTCAGAATTTTAGCTTCTGGCAAAAATGAAGAGCAACAGATGATAACAACTGATGTTAAGAATAACAGATAAATCAGACAGTCAAGCCAAAAGAGAACTTTTGTTTGGTTGGCTGATTTACCTAATGGAAACAAAATTTCTATTTTTATGTAAACACAACTTGGTTATAGTCTTTTAGATCGTAATAACATTTTAGAATTTAATCCCTTGTATTTAGAAATTTCCTGTACATCGCCAGAAATTAGAAATGGATATTCTATATCTCCGAAGAAAATTTATAAGGAGAATGAAAGATTTCAATATAAATGTAATCAAGGTTTTGAATACAGTGAAAAAGGCAATGCTATATGCACTAGTTCAGGATGGAGTCCAACTCCCTCATGTGAAGGTAAGGTTATTTTTATTTTCTGTCTCTTTTGTTAAGAATTTTATCAGACTGGACATTGTGGTGCACATCTGTAATCCCAGAGCTCAGGAGGCTGAGGCAGCATATCACCAGTTCAAAGCCAGCCTCAGCAACAGTAAGGTGCTAAGCAACTCAGTGAGACCCTGTCTCTAAATAATTTAAATAGAAAAGGGGGATGGAGATGTGGCTCAATGATCAAGTGCCCTTGAGTTCAATTCTTGGTACCCAATTCCAAAAGAATTTTATCACTTATTTATTTATTTATTATTTATTTTTGTGATAAGTGAGATTGGGCCCAGGACCTTTTGTCTGCTAGGCAAGGATTCTACCATTCAATGAGCTACAACCCCAACAATTATTTTAATAAATATAATCATTTTATGTAAGCAATCTAATTTTCTCAAAAACAGAGTATAAAATTTGTAAGAATTAAGTGCGCAAAGTCCTTTGATAGTACTTTGTATGATATTCTCTCAAGATAAAAATAAATAGGACCAGAGGCTTAAATACACTATTAAGTAGTTAGTCCCTGGTGATAAAACATTCCAGGAGCAGAGYCAGGACTGTCATAGGCTTTCCAATTTAAATAATCTGCAATTCTCAAATACATAAATTGCTCTTCTAAAGCCTAGAATTTGGCTCTAAAGAGTAAATTATGTTAACATCAGATGAGGTAAATCTCTATTGACAATGGAATTAAAGGGATCCAAAAAGTGGAGGTTTTCATGAGCAATGGGTCTAATTTGGAACAACAGTGATGATGGTGCTGAAAAAGAAATCCTAACTCCCAGCTTCTTCATGGAAGGATGTCATGCAGAGAGGCAGAGTGCTTTTCCCCACAAGAAGTATATCTGAATATTGTGTTCTTTTTTTCCTACCTCCTTTTAAAGGGATGTCTTCCAACTATCATGACTTAGAAGAGAGAATATAGATGATTGAAGAGTTTAAGAAATCATAACCATAAAAAGAATAGCAAGAAGACATAGCTATATTGTAGTAATTCCTGTCCTCAGATATTTGCAGGCATTTCTGAAAAGAAGTGAGGTAGCTTTTTGATGAGAACTGTTGCAGTGAGGGAAACAAGGACCATTGATAGGTCCAGTAATTTTCACAGACTTTACCATACTGTGAGGTAAGGAGAGTTAACTCCTAGGAACCCTCGGAACTTTACATCTGTGGTATGTCATTACATGGTTAAATCTTGTTTTAGTTATATTTTATAAAAGTACAGTTAATTTTGAATTGATTTTATAATTAAACATTTTATTTTGCTTCAGTTTACAAACAGTTCCATGGGAAATGTATCTTTCTTCACAATAGAGTGATCTCTATTTTTAGGCATAATTAACAAAATATTTTAGAAAATAATTAATGAATATAAGACAATGATAATCCATGTTAAATCCACATTAAAAGGGATTTGGCTGATCACAAGGTATCAGCCAAACTTTGATAACAATAAAGAGAGATTTACCCCAAATTGGATAAGCATGCACATTGTTTCAAATTTGTTTCATTTTATTTAAATATACTTTACATTGACTAGATGTAGAAGAGGACTCTACCTTCTGTACCTCAGCTAATATATTACAAATACTTCTCTTTGTTTTCCTGGCACAATGCAAGAATTGACCTGTTGACATGTGATGAACTCCTGACCCAGAAATCTTAATTTCTCTAAAATTGTGTAACTCAAAGCTCAGAAATTGAGTAATAAAGCAAAATTTAAAATGGTTGAGGAGAAAATAATTGAATTGCTTTCCATCTCTTCCACGGCATATAGATGCCAAGGGTTTTGACAGAGGTGTCAAAACTTTGGTTCTCTCTGTCCAATAGAGGACAGCCTACAATAAGTCATTTACAGGAATAATTAAACATGCCAAAATGAATTGATTAAAAGTCACGTTTGATCCAATTCCATCTGTTTTCCTCATAAACTTTTAAAAATTGATTTACAACATATGGTGCTAATCATGCATTATTATTCTTACTTCAAATGTATCTGGGAGTGAGAAAAAGGGACCACATACATTTGGATAGTCTTGAATATTATTATTTTAGATAGCAATAGATAGTAAGGCAATTTTTAAATTGTTTATTTTAAGAAAGATTTCAAAAGGCAAGAATTAAGTTTCATCAATGAATTCATGTCTACATTTTGAGATTAATCTTCAGAAGTGTTTCCATTCTCGAATGTTTTCACAAAATTACCCGATACACTTTAATCATTCTCTTAAACTTTTGTTGTTTGTAACTTGTAACTTTTGGATTAAAAAAATTGATATTAAATTTAGTTACACTATGAAGTAAAACCTAAGAAAAGAAATGTAAACTAAAGTTCAAAGACTTATTATTTGTTAATAAAAGAGCAATTGGGTTAGGTGGCTTGAAAACAGTGTATTAACAATTAGTAACTTATATTGGAAAATGAAATAAGAGGTAAATTATGAGCATATAAAGRATTATTTTAATGAAATAAGAGATGAATTATGAGCATATAAAGGATTATAAATAATGATGAGTATCCACCACATGTTTTTAGGCCAAATTACAATATGGCATCAATACAGACATTTATATAGCTTTTATACTATACTTAAAATGTATTGCACTTTATAAGAAAAAGAATATTGTAAATTGATCCATTATTGAGATATAGCAGAATTGATGGAAGGAACAAGAAAGAGCTTTATATGTGAGAAGAGACTTGATCAAAGGAAGGCAAACTTGCTCAAAGGTCAAATCAAGCTTGCTTCCCTTTTGTAAAGAAAGCTGTATTGCAGCACAACAATGTCCATTTATTTACAAATTGGGTATGGTTACTTTTATATTATGTTGCCAGACCTAAGTAGTTGCAAAAGAGACCCCTTACAAAAAAGGCTTTCCAAACAATAGATTGCAGTATATCAATATCATAACAAACTACCCTTTGTTTCTGGTTTATGCTCACTTCTAATACAGTTCAGAAGGGTCTCTACACAGTATTTCACTGAAAAATCATTGCAGACTTTTTCCCTTTTTTTTTGCCAAAAAGTGAAATGCTACTAAATGTTTCACATATGAAACATTGTTTTTTAAATTGTTCAGGTAATACTTGAAAATTTTCATTACTAAATTGTCTTGGTGCAAGATTAGAACACATGGAATACTCATGAACATATGTTAATGCAGTGGTATGGTAGGGACTTTCTCAGAACAAAGGAAAGGTAACATGACACCCACAAAATCACCATGCACATTCCACAACTCTGTTGTAATATTGTTGCAAATCTATAGTATAAAATATAATGCCCAATTAGAATGTATATAATGTATATTACCTTATATGGGAGACAAAGAGCTAGCAAATAAAGAGGAACTAACAAGAAATATATAAGCCAACATCTCCTGCTTTGGGACCTCAGCCTTTGAATACAATCYGCTGGACCAGTGCCAACACTAATATGCTCTGCTTCCTGCTGAATGCCCTGGTTCCTGGTCTCTCTGTGGAAGAATCCTTTAACATTGGCAATGGTAATGCAGTGAAATATGGTAAACTAGTTCTAAGAATCAGGTGACAAAGGCATCATCTTTCCAATGTTCTTCTTCAGTTAATGCAGATGTGGGAATGAGAACATGAAAATTCACACAATGTCTTTTAAAACTCCCTTCTGTTTTATTTTCATTACATTGAACTATCTAAGTCATATGGCCACATTTAATTCAAAGAATGGATGTGATTTCCTACCAGTTGTGTGGAAAGAAGAGTCTATGTATATTT